CTAACTATATATATATATATATATATATATATATATATTAAATAATATTGGACTTAATGAGCTTGATGAGCTCCTATCTGCTTGAGGCTCCCTATTCTTTTCATGTAGATTTTTTCTGATTTATTTCATGTCTTCATATTTCTTGTTTCTTTGTATATATCTCCATTATTTCACTTAGATCTTCTCTTTTATCTTTTTCTTTTATATATATAAATATATACACATTGTTCTATTGTTTTAAGATTTTATGTACTACCTAAAAATTCTTACTACTTTTACAGTATCAACTAACAATTTTATTCTTGTATTTGTATTATATTGCTTGTGAAGGCACATAAGCAAAATAATGAAGAAATTTTTGTTGTGTTATTTACCACTTTATATTTTCAGATGTAAATTAAGGTAATATGCACCATGTGTTCCCACGAGAGTATTACCTGGGAAGTTATAGACAATTCTGTCATGGACAGAATGATTGATAACTCTTTGATGCATAAATTCATATCATCACCAAAGATACGAAGGAGAACAAAAGTACTTAATAAAGAAATAAAGAAGCATTGTAATATGAAAGATTACAAACATTATATAGAACTAAAAACTGCTGTCCTGCGAAACTTGATAAATGATACTGACACTGATGACAGCAGCAGTCTTACTGATATCGATTATGATATTATATATAGCTCTCCAACGAAACAAGCCAAATATGTAGCCGATAATTCTAAAAGGTATATTTTCACCAGCGAAGAGGATTGCGAAGGTTGTAAAAGGAAGAATGACAGCGAGCATAAAGAGAGACGTAGAAGTAATAACATAGAAAGAAGAATAGAGAAAAAAGAAAAGAGGAAAGCACCACAAACAAAACATACAGCAGAATCTCAAAAACGTATTAATATAGGTTGGCAAGAAGTCATAAAGAAAAACAACTTATCAAACTTATCTAAACAAAAGCATACAAATATCTCTGATAATGAAGAAAATATTTTAGAGAATAATGAATGTGATTATTTCAAATCACAATCTAATAATCAGTTTCTTTCACGAATTAATTCTCAGAAAAATATGAATTCTAATATAATAAAATCTGGAAACGAATTTGTAAGGCAAAATCACAGAGATTCTGCAATGGACAATGAATTGAATTCTGAAGATGATATGATATTCAATAAAACAAAATCTATAAGTAAAAGAAAAGTACAGAATCAGCAAAATCAAAATATGTTGATAAATGAATCAAATGCTGAACTGGATTTACAGGCTTCACATCAATTATCTTCACTTCGAACGATTAGTTTAGAAAATAGTGAATCTAACAATGAATTAAATACCCTGGCTAAAGATAGCAATAATTATAAATTCGAAGAAGTAATGACTGAAAATTCAATAAATACAAAGAATCGCAAATTAAAATTGTTGAAAAATGTTAAGAGAAACTTAATACCTGCGCTAGAAGAAGCCAATTCTACTGATAATAATAAGAATGTTGAACAAGATAAGAATGTAGAAGATAAATTAGCTGATAATCAGTCACTTTTATCTACTCCAAGCCGACATAGTACCCCGTTAAAGAAAATGGGAGTACATATATCCAAGATGCAAAATTTGTCTCCAGATGCATTGTCATTAGATCAACAGAAAGATTCCGGATTTGATGATGACTCACAAGATAGATTTGTCAAAATTAGTAAACAATCTAGTAAGATTTCAAGTCGAAATTTAGAAGAGAAGACGGAGAAAACGCTTACTTTTCAACAACTTAAAAAGATTAATGATGTCAAAACAGTTATTTCAAAAGATTGTAAAGACAGTGCACATTCGGAATCTAATATTTTAGAGAAACAAGTTAGTAAGGAGCCTTTTGAAGAGGAGAAAACAATGAATTCTTTCCAATTAGATAAAACTGATATGAATGCTGAAATTTGTTCGATAAATCAGAAAGATAAGCATTTTGTAAAAACTATAAATTCAAATAATATTAAAAAACAATTGTTATCTCTCAAACAAGATTTAAAAAATCAGTTAGACTCTTGCTATCATATTCAAAAGAAAGAAAATGGAGAAGTTAAAAATTCCTCTGAAGAAAAAGAAGAAATATCTCTTCGATTTAATGAAATCGATAAAGATACAAAAATTTCTTCAACGAAAGAAGGTAAGACACATTTCATAAAACAAGAAAAGTTATACGATCAAAAACAGTCATTCTCTCCTAAAAAAAATTGTGTACAGAACTCAATGATATCTAATAATAATTTTTCAGAGAAACAAGATAGTAGAGAAGAAAAGGAGTCTTTTGGAGAAAATCAAATTGATGGAAATACAGAGATTTATTCAACAAATCAAGAAGATGAGATGCGCTTTGCGAAATCAAATGACTCGTGCGAGGTTCAAAAACAGCAACTGCTATTCCCTAAGGAAAATCATGAACAAGATATACACCTTAGATATACACCAAGAAAGGAGGAATCTTACAAGAATAATTTAAATGAAGATAACAAACAAGCGAACGAAAAGAAAGAAGAGAAAGATTTCCCTCAATTGTTACCTAAAGTTACATGCACTGAAATCTTAAATAAAAAATATAAGATAATGGACAAGACAGACGAAGACGATATCAAGAATAATATTGAGAAAAATGATTGTGTCAATAATAATATTGATATTGTCAATGAACATACTCCCATAAAAAAGACACATTGTCCAGATATCACTAATTACGATACTAATAATTGGCAAGAAGAAGTAAACTCAGAAAAAATTGATACACCAATGGCATTGGAAACTGATAATGAAGAAGATAATGTAAACTATCTATCGCCTCAAGCGAAAAAGCGACTTCAACAGCAAGCGAGATTGAATTTAGTCGTAAGCAGCGATTCCAGTGAGAGCGATGACGAATGTGTAACCACTGAAACCTCGCAAAAGCGAATCAACAGTTTAGATATGAGCCATTGTAGTGAAAATGAGTCGGAGAATGAGACCGATTGTACTTTTGAACAAAGTAAAATGAATATTACATGCAATGAAAACAATAATTTATCTCAATCTTTAAAAAGCAGTCCACGAAACGAAATGCAATTTGATCAAGAGGTAAATAGTGACGACGATGATAAAAGAAATGAAAGCGTTAAGGAAGATGAGAGTTTTCATTTAAGAGTTTCTGAAAGTAATATTTCGTGCAATAATGAGGAATCTATGGATCAATTTTCAAAAGACAAACAATCTTCTTTATTGAATAAAGAAAATATGTATCAAAGTAATCAAGATGAAGATAGAAGCACAGAGGTTGAATATAAGTCTGAATGTGAGCAAAGTAAGCAATCAACCAAAGGTCCCAATGCAGAACTTAATATTTCCTGTCAGTATAGACCATGTAACGTAAGTAATACGAGCAATATTAGAATTATTTTCATATGAAATATGTTTTATAAGAAATAGGAAAAATTGTATAAAATTCTTTTTTCTTTTTCCTTTATATGTTGAGATAATTAATCCATTTACTAATGAGGAGCAAGTATGAGCATATTTTATATTAAATTATTACTTATGAATATTAATGAAATTATGAAATGAATTAGTGATATTAATAGTGAAATTAGTAATATTTGAAGTTCAATAATATCAATTTTGAAATTATCATTTTTTAAATTTATATTTTAGTTACGAGAACTAGTCGAGGATGAAGAGTTACTTGTAGAAACGACATCAGCAAGTTTTACATTAACGGATCTTTCTGAAGATGAAGAAGCTTTTATTTTGAATATTCCAAAAAGGTACTAATTTTATTTCTAAATTATTGATATTTTTT